AAATAACTCTTAAGGTGACTGTTCAAATGGGAATATAAGCAGTCTTGTGGTTCCACTGGGAATTGAACCCAGGCCCTGCTGCGTGTAAGGCAGCTGTGATAACCACTACACCATGGAACCTTAAGGTGACTGATAGAGATCTTAACCAGGTTTGTATCTGAACTGATCATCTCAGTCCATCTTTGCCAAATGCCTGTAATAACCTCTGATTCTCTGTTTCTCTTTGGAACTAATTTTCCATGGTCCTGGTCCCCTGACCCCATGGAGTTGAAATCTTTGACACATGTTCATTCTACACTTGTAGATGAGCCATGTTTTAAATTTTTGAAAAACAAACAAAATAATTAGTCTTTGACCACACTGAACAATCAAAACTCAGCAGTGATTCCTTGATCATGTCCATTGTGCCAGGCACAAAATAAACATAATTAAAACCTGTAGTAAGTGCTTGGAAGAAAGACGTTGGTGTGGGGTGAGCTTAGTGTTTTTCTTTGTTTCAGAGTCAAAGAAATGAAAGAAAGGAAGTTAAAAATGTGTCAGTGATTATACATGCGGTTCATAGACATGGGAAAATTGGGAAGGTTAGCAGGTGATTGGCTGAAATACTGCAGTGTCCGGATGTCTCCCCCTACAGACAGAGTCCTAGAGACACAAGGAGGCAGCCCCTTCCCAAGCTCATAAGTGGATCAGTTACCACCCCCACCTCCAGCAGCAGTGACACCCTTCCCTGCCTCCCTGGCCATTGGGTAGCATACACGTGGTCGGAGACAGTGGACTGGAAGGAAGGGAGATTGCCCATGACAGAGGCCACCCCTAAAAATGCCTACTACATACCTTTTTATTTTCTCTTAGAGGTACAGGACTAGGAAATGCTTTGCTAGCTCCCAGGGAGTCATGTTCTATTTGGGCTCAAATCATTTCAATGACAGACAAATGGATAAAGCTTGAACCATGATTCTCAAACTTTCTTCTGCCTCAGTCTTGCTCATATGCCCAGAACAGTTCCAACAGGATCATCTTTCTAATAACAAAACAGGGTTTGACTTCAGAAATTCTGGGGTGAAGAGGAAACTCAGGTTATCGGGCAAAGCTGCATATCCCATGATGGAGCAGTTTTATGCCCAACTGCCCTTCTGAGAATCCCAGGCAGGTGTTTAACTGCACAGACCCACGGACTAAAACAGACACCCCTCAGCCTGTTAAGAGGATGTTGACTCTCTCGTCTTTAACACCTTCCTGCCTTCGCTGTCAGAACTTCCCACCACTATCTTGACACCCTTCCCTCTTGGAAATCAGTGGCTTCACAAGAAAAACACATCCCAGTTAGTTATCACATTTGATTAAACACCTCACCCTGAAGTGTAAATATTTCAGTGGCCCCTCCTTTCACAGAGATATTTGCACCCCTTGGCTTTAAAGCAGCCCTCTCAAACAGTGGAATTTCAGCTATCAGGAAAAGCCAGATAAAGTGGATATTTTGGGAAGGAGGATTTCCCAAAGTCTATTCCTCAAAACAAACTGCTTTAGGACAATTATGACAGTGATTTATTGAAGTGAAAAGGCTATATTACTTTGCTCTTGCCACATAAAATGTCTGTGTTTGCTTAGCTTAGCTGATTTCCTGGTATATCTGAAATACACTGACAGAACTCCATAGAAGAATGTTTGTCTTTTCTTCTTCTTCTTCTTTTTTCCATATTGCTTATACTAAGTTTCTTCCCCTTGGGAAGAAATTTAAAAAATATTTCACAGTTGCTTTGAAAACAGCTGTATAAATGCAAGACATTAATAGGGAAACCAAAACATGCACCAGGGCAAAATAAGACCGAAGTTATTAAACCACAACCTAAAGACAGTTAAAGGAAAATATACATACATGTTGAGTTTAAAACACATGTGATTTAATTAAAATCGAGCTTGAATTTGAAAAGAATGGCTAAGCAAAACAGTACGTCTGACACGTGAAAAATCTTAAATCATTCACGCACACACTTATGTGGGCACACACAATAATTTCCTGAACCCTAAAGCCGAGGGAGCCTGAGTGTGAAAACAAAATGAGGTCTTTAGTGCAGGGGTCTAGTGAGTTACATAGAACATTTTAGGACAGTCCCTGCCTGTCCGCCCGCCTTGTAAGTATCACAGGCCATTTATTCATAGCAATATCAATTAGTCATCCTGTTCTAAGCCCTGCAAGGAGATTATCTACTTTATCACCATGAGCAGTGTGCAGATAACACAGTGGAGGTTCCCGATGGCCGCCTGCATCCATTTATTTTCTATTCATTCCCAGGACAGGGCCGTTATAAAGCTGTGTGTAGGAAATGCAGCATTTTTCCTGCACAAACTTCTTTATCTTTATTTGCCCCATTGTTGGCTATATTTTTTAGTCTCCTGGCAGCCAAGGGTCACATTTCCATGAAGATAAATTTTATATTGGAGCCACTGGGAGCTGATGTCAGTGCAAATCTGTGCCAGGACAGATTCAAAACGATGGCAAAGAGGAAGTTTCTGCATTTTATTTCGGTATTATATTGTCCTGTTTTCCTGATAACGGAGCCAGGGAAGACTTGGAACCAAGGTCTATTTTTCTGCTTTGTTCACCTCCCAACGATGGATAAACACCCAGGGCCCCTCCCTGTCGGCCAGACTTCAGTCTGATGATCTGTGAGATGACCTGAGATGCTGAAGCAGCGAACATCCTTACCTGCAGGCCCAGCCTCGCATACACCCTGGGTGACCGGAGGTTAGAACGGATGAATTTGGTCCCAGGTTTTGCTGCCAGTGAAGGTCAGGCTCGCTGTGTTGACAGGGATACTTCCTGCCTGTTATCAGCCCGCTGGACATTTGATGTGAGTCCATGTTGTGTGTCCACTGGAAGCCAAATGTCATAGCTCAAAGATAACATTTTGCCCTGCTTTCCTCCCATTTCAGAATGAATTCAGGTTTCCTGTATGGGTAAGCTCAGTTTGGAGTCTGGGGGGAATTCCGAAGTCAAGAATGTTCTGTTTATGAAGTAATCCTAGTAATGTGTGGAATTTTTATCGTGAGGTTTTTTTTTTTCCCTCTTGCAAAGGCTAAATGTTTAAGAAAAATGCAGGAAACTGGCAATTAGAATCAATTCCCTTCATAACAACAGCAGGACATCAGCTTGAAAATATGTCCTTTAACTGGTGTAACAATTGCAGTAATAGAAATCTGGGGAGTGTCTGTGGAATACACAGCTCAACCTGGGGGTGACTGGAAGGACGATTCTAACACATGAAGTCACATTTCAAAGGCTGGCTCACATGGTGGTGATTGGAATTCAGAACATGAGTTCTGATTAAATCCGTGGTAGAAACAAGGTTGAGTTCCATAATCCATACCTTTCAGAATGTACTCTACCTGCAGCAGTTACAAACTCTACCTTCAAAAGTGTTATGGAATAAGATAAAATAGGTTCTTTAACCACTAGGCCATTTGTAAACAATGAATTCATTATGTCAAAGTCTGACTTTTTAAATATCTATTTCTACTCCCATCTCTCCCTTTTTAGGGATTCAATTAATTCAGTGAATATTCAGTGAGCACCTAGTAACTGCCAGGCACTATTTTAGATGCAGTGAAAAAAAATGATGAAAATCCCTGCTCTTGTACAGCTGACATTCTAATGGGGAAGAGAGAGAATCAGATGCAATTTAATTTATGAATGCTAAGAAGATCAAAACAGAGAAAGGAGTGAGAGAATGTCAAGAAAGATATGGCGGCAGTTTTACAATTTAAGGATTGAGAAAGTGTGATCTGAAGGGGGAGGGTATAGCTCAGGGGTAGAGTGCATGTTTAGTATACACCAGGTCCTAGGTTCAACCCCGAGTACCTCTGTTAAATAAACAAACTAACAAACCTAATTCCCTCCCTTCAAAAATAAAAAAATAATAATATGAAAAAAAAAAACGTATGACTTGAGTCAAGTCCTGAAGCCAGTGATGAAGTAAGCTACCCAGGTTTCAGTGGCAGCCAAGCCTCAGGAAAAGACCACAGCAAGTGCAAAGGCCCTGAGGCAGGCTGGCCTTACTTAAACTCAAGCAAGGAAATGCTCACTGGCTCCTATTTCCAAGGAAAGAGATGAAAACTGTGCGTCTAGAGGGACCCAGACTATGAAAACATTCCAAGATGCTCTCCCCTCCCTTGGGTGACTGCTGGGCATCTATTGTTCCCTTAAAGACACATACCAGCGCTGAAGGCTGGGGAGGTGGGGGGTGGCAGTGATTTATGTTCATCTCTTCCTTCTGTGCTCTAACTTATACACAAAATAGCGCCTAGGGATGTTTGTGATGTATATTCCTTTAGTTACTTTATACGCATGTATTTTTATATGCATATTTTATGGTGTCTTTCGTGGTGCAGATAATTTAAACATGTGAAATGTAACATACACACAGAAAACCATGTATCTATAGCTCAGTGAGTTGTCACCAAACAAACACCCATGTAACCACGCCCCCAGGTCAAGAAACAGACACTGCCAGCTCCCCTGAACCGCCTCTGAGCACTTCTTCTCCCTCTCCTAGAAAGGCAAACCAGTCTTCTGACTTTAAAACAACCACTTCCTTGCCTTTTTGTTTTAAAGACAGAATGGAAAAGGGATCCCCATGTACTCACCATTGTTCAGTCCTAACAATGATCAAAGACAGGCCAAGTGTGTTTCATAGAACCCCCGTCCCTCCCCCTCATCCAGCTAAGTTAATGAATTAATTTATTTGTATCAAGATATAGTCTAGTATGTATGTATATGTGTGCCTAGGACATTGTGCTGTACACCAGAAACTGACACATTGCAATTGACTATATTTCAATTAAAAAAAAGATATAATCTATAGTAGGTGAAACACAGAGATCTAAGGTATACAGCTGCATGAGTTTTGACAATTGTGGCTATGTGTATAAACCATACAAAAGTCGAGCATGACAAGTTGGTTTTGCATCCTTGAGAGCTGGCTGTGCTAAACAGGGCCTCAGAAACACAACGTGTGATTTCAGTCCCTCACTGGGTACACGTGAAAGTCCCCATGCCAGGGGGCGACCAGCAGAGGGGGCCCCCCAGAGTGGGCTCATGCTGATCTTTCTCAGCCCTTTCT